CTGTTTTTATATATTAAAGGCAATGGTGTAATATCTGCTATTAAGGTTTTCGGTCTCCAATTCTAATAAAAAAAGAAAAACATTTTCAACTTGATTATCAAGGCACTATACTTCGTGGCAAAAACTGCCTTATCAGCAACAAAACACCTGTTGTGTAGGAAGTTCAAATACATTTTTCTCTTCAAAGTATGGTATTAAGTAGAAGAATTTGTAACATAGCATATACTTTTAGTTAAGAAATTCTATACTTTAAAGATTTAAAGGCAGGATGTGCTGCTTTCAAAAGAGCTTGAAGAGAGTTTGAACAATTCAAACTTTCCTCTAACAAAATGCCACAACAAAAGGTTTGTCTTTTATGTAGGAGAAAAATCAATTAATAGGTTGTTTGGTTACAAACCTAAAATTTTATCTCACTCTGACAAGTTTTATTCTGTTTTGACTGTGCCACTTTAAACATTTAGAATGAAAAATGAAGTTAATTGTAAGTTCTCTATTTTAAGAAATTATTTTAAGCCCTAGCCAAGTAGTTCAGTTGGTTAGAGCATCGTCTCCATACACCAAAGGTACCCATCGATCCCTGGTCAGGGCACAATCAAGAATCAGCCCTGGCCGGTTTGGCTCAGCGGTTAGAGCGTCAGCCTGCGGTCCTGAGAGACCCGGGTTCGGTTCCCGCTAAGGGCACGTACCTCGGTTGCAGTTTGTCCCCGGCCCTGGTCGGTTGTGCGGGTGGCAGCCACTCGATGTGTCCCTTTCACATCGATGTTTCTCTCTCTCTCTCTGTTCCTCTCTCTCCCTCCCACTCTACCTGAGCAAAAAATGGAAAAATGTCCTCGGGTGAGGATAAAAAAAAAAAATAATAATAATAAAATAAAACAACTTTGTTTAAAAAAAAAAAAAAAAAAAAAGAATCAACCAATGAGCCCTGGCCGGTTTGGCTCAGCGGTTAGAGCGTTGGCCTGCGGTCTGGAGAGACCTGGGTTCGGTTCCCGCTAAGGGCACATACCTCGGTTGCAGTTTGTCCCCGGCCCTGGTTGGGTCGTGTGGGTGGCGACCATTCGATGTGTCCCTTTCACATTGATGTTTCTCTCTCTCTCTCCCCGGCCCTGGTTGGGTCGTGTGGGTGGCGACCATTCGATGTGTCCCTTTCACATTGATGTTTCTCTCTCTCTCTCTCTCTCTCTCTCTCTCCCTCCCTCCCTCCCTCCTACTCTATCTGAACAAAATACCGAAAAATGTCCTCGGGTGAGGATTAAAAAAAAAAAAAAAAGAATCAACCAATGAATACATAAATAAGTAGAACAACAAATTGATGTTTCTTTACTTTCTCTCAAAAATCAATAAAAAATATATTTTAGAAACTTATTTTATAAATGATCCTAAAATATTAAATTTTTAAACAGACAACTATCAAATTCTCCAAAGTTATTTAGTTCCTAGACTTTCCTTGTTCATTTAACTCTTCTTCAGGGCTTTTTGAGCTCTAATTTAGAGCTTTCAGCCCCAATTCCAGTCTTGGAAGTAAAATAAAATACAGTCTATTTCAACTATTTGTACTCAATAGTGAAGTAAAGGCAAAGACTGAAATATAAATTAGACTTGGGATTCGCTATAGATTTCAGATAGCAAAATTTATTCCTCTATTAAGAGAGACAAAAAAAGGTACATAATCAAAACTTGTACAAAAATGTTTATAGAAGTATCATTCATAATAGCCAAAAACATCAAACAAGGCTATGTTCAAAGTTCGGTTAACAAAAGACAAAAGATACTTTAAAATGTTAATATACTATTTAGAAAGAAGTTCAACTTCCAAAACAAAATATACATCAAAATATATGCAAAACATTTTAAGAATGTCAATTTAAATAATTCTTTTGAAAGTTTCTTGTTTTTTTTCTTTTTCATTTTTTTTCTTTTATTGATTTTTAAGGAGAGGGAGAGATAGAAACATCGATGACAGAGAACATCAAATGGCCGTCTCCTGCATGCCCGCAGTGGGGATCTGGTCCACAACCTGGGCATGTGCCCTGACTGGGAATCAAACCAACGACCTCTTGGTTCATGGGTCAATGCTCAACCACTCAGCCACACCAGCCGGGCAATCTTTTGAAAGTTTTATAAATTGCCACTATAAAACCTAAAGTCTAAAATTGATAGGCTAAACCAAAAATTCATATGGAAGTGCAAGGGATCCAGAATAGCCAAAATAATCTTGAAAAAGGAACAAAATTGGAGAACTCACACTCCTAATCCCAAACTTACTACACAGCTATAGTAATCAAAACAATGTAGTACTAGCATAAGGGCAGACAATGGAATGAATGCAACTAAAAATCCAGAGACAATCCCATACATGTATGGTCAACTGATTTTCAACAAGGATGCCAAGACTGACTATTCAATGAAGAAAGAAGAGCCTTTTCAACAAAGGTGCTGGGACAACTAGATATTCACATGCAAGAGAATTAAAGTGTAACTCTTCCTGGTACCCATACACAAAAATTAAGTTCAAAAGGATCATAGGCCTAAATGTAAGAGTAAAAGCTATAAAACCCACAGAAGAAAATAGAAATAAATCTTTGTGACCTTGGAAAGCATTTGAGATCTTGCTCCTCAACATGTTGTTGGTTTAGCTCAAATAAACTCTTACAAACACCCCCCCCATCCCAAAAGTCTTCGTGACCTTGGTCTAAAGACTTCTTAAACAACAAAAGCATAAGTGATTACAGAAAAATTAAATAAACTGGACTTCAAAAAGACTTCATCAAAATTAAAAATGTCTGTGTTTCAAAGTACACCATCAAGAATGGGAGAAAATAATTACAAAGTAATATATCTGATAAGAGATATACATGTACCTGGAATTTAAAAATAACTCTTACAATTCAATAATAAAAAGACAAACAGATCTAACAATGGGTAATGAACCTAAACAGACATTTTGCCAAAGAAAATACATAAATGGGCAATAAGCACATGAAAAGATGTTCAACATCATTAGTCACCAGAGAAATGCAAATCAAAACCACAACGACATACTACTTCATACCCATCCACTGTAATAAAAAGGACAGATAACAAGTGTCCAGCATGTGGAAAAATTGGAACCCTCAGACATTAATAGTGGAATTGTAAATGGTGCTGCCACTCTGGAAAACAGTTTGGTGGTTCCCTGAAAAGTTAAACAAAGAATTACCATATGAACCAGCAATCCCATTCCCAAAAGAAATGAAGATATATGTGCACACAAAAACGTGTACAGAAATGTTCATAGCAGCCCAGCCAGTGTGGCTCAGTGGTTAAGCATCGATCCATACACCAAGAGGTTGCCAGTTCAATTGCCAGTCAGGGCACATGCCCAGGTTGTGGGTCAAATCCCCAGTGGGGAGCGTGCAGGAGGCGGCCAATCTATGTTCTCTTTCATCAATGTTTCTCTCTCCCCCCCCCTTCCTCTCTTTCAAAATCAATAAAAAAAAAAAAAATATTTTAAAAGAAAGAAATGTTCATAGCAGTATTATTCATAATCAAAAAGTGGGAACAACTAAATGTCCACCACTTAGCCATAAAATGGAATTAAGTACTGATATGTGAGTGCTACAACATGTATGAATCTTGGAAACATGCTTATATGACCCCATTTACTTAATATGTTCAGAATAAACAAATCTACAGAGGCAGAAATCTATAGATTAGTTGCTTAGGGCTCAGGCAGGAGGGAAATGGGAGTGACTGCTAATGATCACAGGGATTCTTTCGAGGTGATCAAATTGCTCTAAAATTGACTGTGGTGAGGTCTGCACAACTCTATGAACATACAAAAAAAATCCCTGAATTGTACATTTAAATGAGCATATTGTATGGTATGTGAATTGTACCTCAACAAAGCTGTTTTCAAGGGGGGAAAACCTAATGTCTAGTATTAATGTTTGCTTGTGGAAAACAAAAGACATAAAAAACAAATAACTAGGAACTGATTTGATTACTAAGCAAGTTCATGCCTGAGATACTTAGAAATAAGAACTTAAAGCACAATCCTTATTCACTGAAAGACTACTCCTTTAAATATTTCTAAATCTTAAAATGGAATTGCAGTACTTGCAACTGTCAGGGCATAAAATGAGATCCACCCCCAGATACCTGAGTAAACATGTTACTTTCCTGTACATGGCTGAACTATACTTCCCATGACAGCAAACAATAACTGCAACAAAAACACTCCACAGGGAGAATAAGAAGTCATTCTCAAACAAGAATCTAATACTAATAGCTAAGAGAAGGGGTGTGGAAAGAATGAGGAAGGGGAAGGAGCACAGGGACAAGGGGAAGTCTCCGTGCATTTAAGCCTCAGGAATCCAGTCACATTAAATTCAACTTTTATACGCTTTGTGAACAGGCCCAGAGGCAAGGTCCTGGGCGCAGGCTAACGAGCCGAACTGCGAAGCCGAGAGGAAGTGCTGATCCCGCTCCAGCCCGCACGGGATTTCGTGTGGAAATGGTGGGGGCAAAAGGGCTCGGGTGGGGGCCTGCCGTGCAGGAAAGAGGTAAGCCCCTCCACCCGGCTGGGGCCCGCGCTGGCCGGCAGCACGCAGCTCGGGGCGGCCGCGCCGCGGGCCCGTCGTGCGAGTCCAAGCCGCGGAGCACGCCCGGCGCCCGGAGCCTCCGCGGGGCCGGGTCTCGTCCGTCTCCCGCCTCATCCGGCGCTTTGTCCCAGCGCGGACGGCGGGCGGCTCCTCCGCGTCCCCGCCGCGGGCTGAGGGGCCGCGCTGACAGCTCCCGGCCCCTGCAAGGGCTGCGAACCTGCGAGTCGGGGCGGCAGCCGACCCGTAGCCCGCCGGGCTTCATCCAGGCGGGACCCAGCAGGCGGCGGTCCCAGGACGCTCGCCCTGCCCGCGGAGCCGCCGCCGCTGCCGCCGCCTGGCCCAAAGCGCACGCAGGCCGAGGTCAGGCGCAGAAAGCCTTGGACTCCGAAACCCACACAATTCCCAACACCCTTCTCTTACCCAGAAATTCTCGACGAAATGCGCCATGACCATCGTGCCGCCGCCGCGCCGGGTTCCGCGTCCGCGCCCGCTCGCCGCTGTGTAAACACGGGTCCGGCCCCCAAGGCGCCCCCGCCTTTCACCGCCACCGCCTTCTTCCCCAAGCCCAGCCCGCACCCTCCAGGGCGCATGCGCCACCTAGCGGCTGCCGCCGCGGGGCGAACGCTTAGACGACGCAGCTTGGTGCGCGCATGCGCCCCGTGTCCCATTCCCGGGTTTTAGTTGCCCTCTCTCCCTAGCACGGGCGGGGCTCGGTTGAGCATTCTCTCGGGAATGGTGGAGAACCGGGTGGCTGAGGAGTCACCCGGGAGACTGTCCGCACCCTTTGCGGTGTGATGGGTACTGACCCAGCGACTGAGCTAAGTGAGGGCCATCCAGTGGCAGTGGAGCCAGTAACCTGGCTGTCGGCTCTTTTCCGCCTCGCAGGACTCGCTTCCCCCGCCTTCGAGGATCCCGATGGATCTCAAGTCCGAGCAAGCTGGGATGGGGGAAACTTGGCGACTAGCCACCTGGAGGAGCCTCTGAGAAACCTTTGGTCAACAGGGTGCCTCTCCTTGACTAGGAACTAAGAACCAAAACAAAACTTTCCGAGGCCGGAAAAGGCGGAAACGCCCAGAGTCATCAAAGAGCCACTGGAGCTGCGCGAGACTCAGGCACCAAGTCCATGACCTCTAGCACGCCCGGAACAAACCAGCCAGGAGGGCCCACAGGAGGACCCAACTCGAAACCCTGACCCAGGCAGCTTAAAAAAAGGTCTCTTCCAGGACTTCGTATAAGTCCATGGCTCTCTTAGCAACTTGTACCAATTTTTGGAAAAAGAAACAAGTTTGAATACGTCCTCAGCATAACAGAAAAATCAAATCCTCTTTCGACGTCCTGTTTTCCGAAAATTAAGGGGAAAAAATTTAAGCCATTGTAGAGAGGTTTCTAGTTCACTGCCACCAGGTCAGCAGCTGTTAAAGCCAAGCCCCACAAACAGATTTAGTGTAACTTTATAACACGTCTCACCTGAGATCTTGTGACTTCAAACATAACACAACACTGTTTCTTCATTGGAACTTATTTTTATCCTCAAAAGTATAAACTACGTGGTGCCTTTAACATGGATGAAACTGTGAAGCGTTTGTTGAATTGGGAATACTTGCAAAAGTATATTGTCATATCTTTTATATGTGTGTGTGTGTGTGTGTGTGTGTGTGTGTGTATAATTTCGTATTGATTTGAGAGAGGAACATCAGTGTGTTGTTCCACTTATTTAAGCATTCATTGACTGATTCTTGGTGTGCCCTGATCAGGGATGGAATGAGCAAACTTGGCTAGTCCAGCCCAGCTCTAACAAACTGAGCTACCTGACCAGGGCCTATATCTTTTAAAGAATATCTTTTAGCCCCGGCTGGTTAGTTTAGTTGGTTAGAGCATCATCCGGATACACTGAGGTTTCAGGTGCCAAGGTTTCGGGTTTCATCTCCAGCCAGAGCACTTAAAGAAGCAACCAATGAATGCACACCTACATGGAACAACAAATCTACATTTCTCTCTCTCTAAAATCAATAAACAAAAATTTTTTAAAGAATAGCTTTTAAAAATATATATAGGAGCCTGGCTGGTGGGGCTCAGTGGCTGAGTACCAACCCATGCACCAAGAGATCACTAGTTCATTTCCCAGTCAGGGCACATTCACGGGTTGTGGGTTCAATCCCTGGTGGGGGTTGTGCAGGAGGCAGCTGATGGATGGTTCTCACTCACATTGATGTTTCTATCTCTTTCTCCCTCTCCCTCTAAAAATCAATAAAAATATATTTAAAAAAATAAATATATATAGGATATGATAAGACATCTAGAATTTGCTTGACAATTCTCTGAGGGAGGGGGGAAATAGGGCTATAGATGAAACAAGACTGACCATGAGTGTCCATGGTTGCAGCTAGGTAATAGAAACATTGTGGTTCACTATACTATTCTCTTTTTGTATATGTTTGCTATTTTATTCCTTTAGAAAGTCTTTAACATTGTCATTAACATCTAGTTTTTGGAAAAGTCAAACTTAGAAATATGCTACAATTCTCTAAGCTATTAGTCTAGCCCTCTCTTTCATTATGCTGAAGAAATTCTAGAAAAAATACAGCCATTTAGATCTCCAGGCAAATGAGGTTGGCATCATTCTATTCCCAGCATCACTAAGCACTAACTCTCTTAGAGCTGGGCAGGAGATGCCCCAATCTTGGACCCCATGTTTTCAAGGACCTTACATATCACAAACACACATATTAATTTATTTAAAAAACACATGGGTGCGCCCTGGCCGGTTTGGCTCAGTGGTTAGAGCGTTGGCCTGCGGTCCTGAGAGACCTGGGTTCGGTTCCTGCTAAGGGCACGTACCTCGGTTGCAGTTTGTCCCCGGCCCTGGTTGGTTGTGCAGGTGGCAGCCACTCGATGTGTCCCTTTCTCGTCGATGTTTCTCTCTCTCTCTCTCCCTCTCTCTCTCTCTCTCTGTTCCTCTCTCTCCCTCCTACTCTACCTGAACGAAGAATGGAAAAATGTCCTTGGGTAAGGATGATAAAAAAAAACAACACATGGGTGCCTCTGCCATTCTTGTTCTAATGTTGAACACTGGCCTACAACCATAAATACCCTATCCCATGACCAACACTATTTGGCCCCAGGGAAAAATTTCTTATCTCTTGCCCTGTGACTTCAAAACAAAAAGTGGGCTCCAAAGGCAGTGAAGATTTACAACTGGTATAGCTGCCCATTTCAGAGATAAAGTGCTGTGGAGTTCAGGCAGAATTTGAGTAACAGATGTGCTTAGGTTTAAAAAAAAAGATGCCCAGCCGGTCGCCAGTTTGATTCCAGTTCCCATTCAGGGCATATGCCCAGGTTGTGGGTTCGATCCCCAATGGGGGGCAAGCAGGAGGCAGCCAATCAATGTTTCTCTCTCATCAGTCTTTCTCTCTCTCCCTCTCCCTTCCTCTCTCTCTAAAAATCAATTTAAAAAAAAAAAGACAAATAGTTAACTTGTGGAATCCTTCCTTTCAGCTTGAATGCAAAAAAGATTCTCCCTTAGCAAAAGATTGTTTTGCATAACAAAGGTGTCAAGGCAAAAATTCCTTCTCTTAGTGTTCCAAGTTGTGTTTACAACACTGACAACTTACCATAGAACATATTCAAATAGTTGCATGTGGTACACTGGCCTCTATTTGTACTCTTACCTCTGATCCTATAAATATCAGGTAGGCCTGCCATGAAGACAAATATCCTGTGTATTTCAGTTATTTACAAGGTTTATTTGGGCCAAAATACTATATGCTGTAATTGCCTGGTATTTAAATTGTGGAACTTTATAGTGATTAAGAGTGATTAAGATTACTAAAACTCTAGACAGGGTGATATAGTAGAAGAATGTAGGTGGTATAAGCTACCTTCTGTCCTCTCAAGTGAAGTTTCCAGGGATGCACATATACTCTGGCAGAGCATAGATAAAGTCCTGAGTGAGTAACTCACTCATATGCATTGAAGTATTTGTGCTTATCCAAACAGATGCTGAAATTATTAAAAGCTGGCATAAATAATAGCAGTGTTCCACTCACTGCCTATAACAGCAGGCACTTAATAGTCAGTCAGTAAATATTCAGTGAAAGAATAGATGAATGATTGAGCCTATTATAGAAATGTCTGTGCACTAGCCAGTGTGGCTCAGCTGGTTGAGCATCATCCCGTGCACCAAAGGGTCACCAGTTTGATTCCCAGTCAGAGCACATACCCAGGTTGCAGGTTCAATCCCTGGTTGAGGTGTGTGCAGGAGGTAATTGATCCATGTTTCTCTCTTATTAAAAAAAAAATTTTTTTTCTTTTATTGATTTTAGAGAAAAAGGGAGGGAGAGAGAGATTTTGGCTGCCTCCTGCACGACCCCACTGGGGATTTGGCCCACAACCTGAGCATGTGCCCTGACGAGGAATCAAACCAGCAACCTCTTGGTGCATGGGTCAGTGTTCAACCACTGAGCCGCACCAGCCGGGCCAATGTTTCTCTCTCGAATCAATGTTTCTCTCTCTCCCCTTTCTCTTCCTCTCCTTTCCTCTCTCTCTCTCAAATCATTTTTTTAAATATTTTTAAAAAAGAAATTTCCAGGTGCATGAGACTGTGGATATTCAATAAATCCATCCTTCTTTTACTCATACTCTTATATGGTGCTAAATCTTAGAACCTATAACAAATTCATTATTTAAGTTCTACTTGATTAATTTTTTCACATTCCTTTAAATATTTTCAAATGAGTTCTTTTGGACTTGAGTATACTTCATAAAGGATAAGCTACCTTTTCTAATAAAAATAAATAAAATTGAAATAATAATATTCAAGATTGGTTATAGCAGATCTTCTATTGGAAGGGAACCCTAAAAAATTTAGCCTACAAATTTTGGGTGCCTCCATCATCAGACTCATCTTTCTCTTGGAATCTCTCCTTAATTATACCTGTCATCAACATGCTGGTTTCCTGAGGATGCTGTTGGTCCCTATTAAACTGTGGCCCAAGTATGCAGGTTATAGCCCAACGTATACCTGGACTGCTCAAACACAACATAATAAATGGTAGCAAAACAGAGAGGAGAAATTAACACAAAATAACCTAAATCTAAATTCTCTAGTTTACAAAACATGGCTTGTCTCTAAGATTTGAGGGCAAGGCACCCAGAGAACTTCCCTCTTTTCATTCCTTAGTTTGATCTACCATTTCCAGTCTTGGGTTTACAGCTCACAGCACATTCATATACATTTAGTTACAAAGGTCTTTCTCTCTACTTAATTTAAAACTAGGTCTGTTCCAGCCCTGGCCAGTTTGGCTCAGGGGTTAGAGTGTCGGCCTGTGGTCCAGAGAGACCCCGGTTCGGTTCCTGCTAAGGGCATGTGCCTCGGTTGCAGTTTGTCCCCGACCCTGCTTGGGTCGTGTGGGTGGCAGCCACTCGATGTGTCTTTTTCACATCGATGTTTCTCTCTCTCTCTTCCTCTCTCTCCCTCCAGCTCTATCTGAACAAAAAATGAAAATATATCCTCGGGTGAGGATAAAAAAAAAAACAACTAGTTCTGGTCCAGAAGAGTTGGCAAT